TGGTTTCTCACAAGAGGTTAAAATCTAAACATCCTGTTCTCAAGTCCAGTCCATAAGAACGTCTTTAAAGTGGATTCCTTTGACTCATCAGCAGCAGCCTTCGCTATAAAACAGAGCAGCTGCTCAGGCATTTGTGCTGCATTGTTGCCAGTTCTCTTCTTCACTAAATCTAAATCCGGTCACTTCTTGCCAAATCATCACCTTGCTCTCCCACCCCAACCAGCCACTGTTCCCTGCCTCTAGCAGGGCAAGGAGAGGAGAGGACTGGGGGCTGGGGGGTTCTGATGAGAAGCCAAAAACTGGGCCAGGATGTTCATGTGAAGCACCAAAGCCCCCCCAGCCCCCCGGGCCCTGAGCTGCTGGCATTAAACCATGAACACACACACACACACACACACACACACACATTCATACACACAAGGTTCAGACGCCACAGCAGCCTGGAAGCAATGGTGCAGAGACCAGTAAACAAGCTCATCTGCTCCACACCGGCATGATGCTGCTGATGGAACCACTAGATTACTTGCTTGTTGGGATTACTTTTCTAGCAGCGTACTGTATGCTGACGATGTTTTTCTGATTGTCCCCAAACCCAATGAAAGGATCAAAACCAACGCTGTCGTGTTGACTTTACTGCCGAATCCTGATAGAACTTATTCTTCTGTTTGCTCCATTGTTGACCAAAGACTCTTAAAAGCACATCGATGAACCTTCACTGCTGCACCGGCTGACATGTTGATTCATTACGGTGAACACAGCCACGGTGGTTTATTTAGAGTCAGCCCCAAACACGTCGTCCTGCCTCCATAAATATTCACTGGAGCATGACACGTTTATTAATTATCTCCCTGAAATAGTCTCCAACAAACGTACTTTACACGTGCTGCTTAAGAAGAAGTTGGGCAGCCAGGGAAGGAAAGGCTTTGTCACTGATAAATAAAAAGTGAGTTGGGTTGTTGCTGAGATTTCAGTTTCTGAAACTCGCTTTGAGCCAAAACTCTGCACACACACATCTGGTGGCGGTGATGTCGTGGGACTGTATGCTTAGATGCATTCCTCCATTTCAGCAAAGATTCTGAAGGTAAACATAGAATTCTTAAGCACATATATATTAAAAAATGTGACATCACAGACCTAAGACGGCACATTTTTGGCATGTTGTTTATTTAAAGGGAAAAAAGCAAACATGCATGAAGGGAACAGAGTTTTTCTCACTGTTTATTAAAATGTACCCCTATGAAGAAAACGTGTGAAGGTACCTGATGTGTGTGCAGGTGCAGCCAGCCCAGTGCACAGTCCAGGCAGTTGTGACCTCCTCAGACCTACAGTTTGACCAGACCGAGGTGGACTTCGGCTTCTGTTCCATTTACCAGTCGGTCAAGAGCAGCGTTCGCCTCTCCAATACGTCCCTCTTACCTCAAGACTTTGGCTTCGTGGGTCTTCCAGAGGTACGAATACCTCATCCTGTGCTAAATGTTTCTGTATTTCTAAAGTACAGTTGCATGAATAAACTGTCCTTCTGTTCGTGTTGTCTTTCTAGATAATGTGTAGGAGACTTTGACTGGGAATTGTTCAGTTTGCACTGCAGCATTACACTAGTTATTATAACAACTATGAACAACTAATGAGCCTTCCAGCATCAAGCCCTCCTCGTATCTGGACCTCCGTCTGGACAATCCGACAGCCTTGATATCTGACATAGAAGAAGGTTTTACATTTAGTGTCGGATCATCGAGTCACGACTTTATATAAATAAGTCATTTACTTTACTATATGTAGCATCAATGGCTGATTATTGCAGCAAGAAAGCCGACCACAGATGTGTCAAAATATAAGTTTGATTTCCTGAAAATCTTCAGCGATATTACATTAAGTTATAATTTTAAGCATTTTGAATTTATTGATTGAAAAATGTTTATCTTTTCTCAAACTACAGTTTATTGAGGTCCAGCCCAACGACGGCTTTGGTACTTTGCTTCCACAAGAAACCCTGGAGCTCCATCTGATTTTCAGCCCTAAAACCGCCAAAGAATACCGTTTCCAACTCGGCTGCAAGTCTGGAATCAACAGGTTGGTTAGTAATCCTACGCGGTGTGTAAATGAAGCTCATTTATTGTGTATGGAGTTGTTCATGTGTAGGACTTTGGTTTTAATGATGGGTTGGATCACTGTCACCATGCCTCTGTTGTTAACTGACTTATCATTTTACTTTCTGTTGCCACCAGAGATTTTCTGCTGCCTTGCCGAGCGGTGGGCCTCCACCCGCCACTGGAGCTCTCCCATTCCCTAGTCCAGTTTGGGGCCACAGCAGTAGGAGACCGCTCCACTGCCACAGTTTACCTCATCCACCGTCACACTGAGTCCAAACCACCGGTGGTCAAGGACAGCGTGGCTCCTGTGGTACCCAGACTGTTTTCCTTTGTCCTGCCAGAGGACTCAGACATCAGCATCACTCCTCTTGCAGGACGCCTTCTCCCCGGAGAGGTGAAGCAGTGCACCTGTAACATGCAGCAAAAAAACTCTGAGACAATCTAGTAGGCTTATGTTATGCTTATTTTTAATCAGACAACTATTTCCAAAAGTGAAATTTCATGCACAATGGGAAACACCCGTACAGGAGGCTAAAAGGAAGTAAAATACTAAATTGCTGCAATTATACTTTAACGTGGGCTTTTAAAACCAGCATGTTTCTCACACTTGGACCAGCACCAACTGAAGAATGTTTTTTAATTTAACCCCTTCCTCAGTTTCAGTAGTCGTGTTAATCCTCAGGATCTCCAGAGGCTGTGTTTAATATTTTACACATTGCTATAAACACAATAATCCAACTGTTAGGTCTGTTTCTAAACTCAAATCTGCAGTGACACTAATTACATAAACACTCTTGACTTGTGCGTATGTCATTTCGTTTGTAATCCTTCCTCTGAATGGGGAGTTTCTATTTGTATCTGGAGCATCAGAAACTTTCCTTGGATGCTAGTTTACTCCAACATATCCCGAGGTCTGTCTCCGGCAGTACAGTCGCTCCCCGCTGCAGCTCCGGTAAGCCCCGTGGTAAACTGGAGCTGAACAGTTAATCGATGTCAAATTGAAATCACACCGAAACAAGAGGGCTGCAATTTAGGACATGCAAGGTGTAGTAATATAATGATCCCAGCATCCTCCTTGTGTGACAGGCTTGCTTTTGATGATACCTCATATACCCATGACATGATTTAAATCTATGTTTTAACCGAGGCCCTGACTTTAAAAAAAATTATCCTTCAAACCACGATTGCAAAAAGTCTGAGAGAAAAATCGGCACGACATGTTTTGTCCAAATCGTTCAGCCCTCTATTTCAAACTGATCACATCACTACCAGTTTGTCAGTTTGCCACAGACGCCAGATTTAAAACACCAGTATACTGTACAGGACAGAGATGGATCCTGTAGATTAATCAGCATCATGTCAGGGTTTGAATGCAGAGCTCCAGCTGTAATTAAAATTGCTTGAATCAGACTTCTGAATGTAACCGTTACCAGTCCTGTGACTAGGATGTCAGCTTTTTGTTGTTATGATCATTTGCAACCAGGATGTCATGATGGAATCTTTGCAGCCATCACATCCATGGTAGCTGCTGCTGGGTGGCCTTTACAGTGTGATGATGCCCTCTGCTGGACACCTGGTGGAAGTGACCGAACACTTTTTGCACTATTTTTAGCACATCAGTCACAAAACAGCGACCCTTCATGTTCAGTTTATATTCACTGGATGCGTCATTTCACCGTCTTTTAGCAATCACTGTAGATTATTGTTATGGGTTGTGACGGCTGAATTTAAAGTCCTACTTTCAATCAGCTGACGGTGGAACACTTTTCTCCAGATGCTCTATGCAGAAGAAGTTAATCCATTTTATATTCATTTGTGTGTGTGTGTGTGTGTGTGTGTGTGTGTGTGTGTAATAGGCCCAGTGGGAGAAATCCAGTAAATAGCCTGCAATTGGAAAACAGAGGGATTATCATCCTCAGTCCACTTGAGCTGTTTCACGCCAGAGAAACCACAAAACAGGATCCTGGCCAAAACTCATTTAAATTTCCACTTCCTAATATGCAGTGGAGATTTAAATGGAAAAACAGCCAGCATATAAGAGCTCCACACGTCACTGTCTCTGCTCTGTCTTAGAGATGTCGGGTCCAGGTGACGTTCAGCCCCAGACTGTTGGACCAGGAGATCAAAGAAGAGGCGCTGCGTCGCCTTCACCGGGCCAAGCTGCTCCGTGAGCAGGAGCTGGAGACAAACCAGCATGCTGAGGTACAACTGCACGCCCACCTCCCTATTACACTCACCTTCTGCTGGTGCCAGGGATTTTAAATGCATCCTCATTTTTTACTTTACATTCTGTATAAACGCTGGTTTGTTTAAATCCTGTGTGTTGTAAGGCTCAAAAAGAGATGCCAGTGGAAGCCACTAAAGGAAAAAAGGCATCCATGACTCCCAAGAACAGCAAGGTGTCGGATGACCCACAGACAGACAGACAGCCTGAATCACCAGATCCTGCAGACATACAGCCGGGGTGGGTGTCCTCTCCACAAACAGGTCTGGTTTGCTGGGCTGAGTAGTAGGACCAAGTAAATATTCAGGAATAAATACTCTGTGTGTGAAAGAGTAGCACTGCCCAAAACTATGTTGTATTATAAATAATACTGTACTATATAAATATATGTAGTGTTTATATAGTATGGTATGGTATAGTATTGTATAGTGTTGTGTAGTATAGCATCGTATCATGTCGTATCATATTGCATCGTATTATCTAGTATCGTATCGTATAGTATCGTCGTGTAGTATAGTGTCGTGTCTTGTCATGTAGCATAGCACCGTGTCGTGTAGTGTAGTATTGTATTGTATCGTATAGTGTTGTGTAGTATAGTATCATTGTGTCTTATCACGTAGTGTCGTGTAGTATAATATAGTATACTGTCGTGTCGTGTCGTGTCGTGTCGTATGACCTCAACGCAAATCAAGAGTCGTGATGAAGAGGATTTGCGTGTGTGAAACGTGGAGAGTTTTTTTTTTTCCTTCTTTAATTGTGAGCTTTTCCTTTCAAGGTCTTCGCAGTACGAGGAGGCCAAGGCCTCCCTGTTGTACTCTTTCAGCCGACGCTACAGAGAGTACACCGTCCCCTGCTTCGTGTCAGATGGAGACACTCCAGAGAAAGACAGCCAAGTCCAGGCAGCATGGAGGTAGCAGTCAGCGTCGATGTGCACTCATTCATGTACTCTGGAGGTTACATCACCTTCACACAGTAGAGTCATTCCACCTCGATTCAGCACATTTTTTTAACCATCTCATATTTGTTGAAAAAACTGATTCTGTCTATATTATGCTAGGAAGTAAAATGTGTAAAAGTTTTGGTGTTTTTGAGTTAAAACGTCTGGTGGGGTCACATCTGTCTTTACGTCGTCTTCTGTGGAACGATGTTGAAGCACCATGACCTGGGAAGTGATGCAGCTCCAGTCCTGACATGTTCTCACTGACGTGTCTCCAGCCCTGCTTTGATAGAAAAATACAAACCAGTTACATGATGGTGCAAATGTGAAAATGAGAAAAAAAAAGTTTGAAATCCTTTTCTTCACTGAGCAGGTACGTACAGGTAAAGCCACTCCAATGGTGTCCCAACTGGAAGACTTGTGTCCTGTTGTTACTGGGATAAAAGAAAAGTCATGGCTTTCCAACTGATAGTGGTTCAAATAATTTCATGAAAAGTGGTGCAAAAATGACCCAACCTTCTTTAAACATGTTTAACTCATGACCTAATGTTACCTTTGACCCCAGATTCTACACATGGTCAACTCCATCAATATTCACCACTTCAACAAAAACAAAAAACAAAGTGGCTCCAGAGTTTATACTCTTACTTTATGTGATGCCAGTAAATAGAAGAACATCACAGCTCTGAGCATCACACAGTTCTGACATAGTTTTACACATCAGCTGTGGAAACACTTGAAAAGAATGTTTTAGAGGTGAAAAGACTTCATACAAAGTGTGTTGCTCAGAACGTCCAGTCTTTTTATACCTTTAGTAAACCTGAGGCACGCTTTGTTTCAAACATTATTATTGTGAAAACTGCAATTTCATCAAACGTCATCCATATAAATGTGCTTTATTTTCTCTTTTTAAGCCAAACAAACACACCTCAAAGAACTGAACATCAAAGAACACGGGACAAGTCAAGTAAAGTCATTATTTATTTAAACAGCAGCAGCTATTGAGCCAAAGTACTTTCCAGGAGACAAATAAGACAGGCACTGCAAATTTACCCAACAAATATTACGCTGTTTAAATATTGGGGCTCAACAGTCTTAACGTTTATCTAAGTGTGCCTGAGTCAGTAAGTATTGTGGTTACAATTTTATAAACTACAAATCTACACCAAATTAAATATTAAGGTTAAGATCCTACAGTATCATGTATACTGCAGGTTAACCTGACTGACTGACATGGTACTTTTAATAAACGTACAGTATTATGTACTTTAGCACATAGAAAATGAATCAAAGGTTCTTTATGAGCAGCATGTTGGTGACAGTGGAGGATGAGACATCCAGCAGAACCGGGCCCAGGGGGGGACCGTCTGACTGGACCAGTAGGGCTGAGGCTAAAGGAGAGAGAAAAGGAAAACAGCAACAAGCAAACAACAAACAAGAGAAGATAAACTCTGAAGCAGCAGCTGCTGGACCAGACCCAGATCCAGAGCCAGAAATACCTGCAGAGAGGACAGAGAGGACAAAACGCTACCCGCAGGAGAGAGAAGACAAAACGTTAATAACATCTGTCAGCGCATGAAGGAGCTGAAAACCAACCACATGACCAGGACAGCCAGCGTTAGGCATGAAGGCAAAGAGTGGAAGAGAAAACTGAGTGAAGACCGTCAGCTGATCAAAATAAAATAAAAAGAGCTGACATGACTGGCGAGCCCTGAGTCAGCTGGGATAGGGTCCAGCCTCCCACTGCAACCCTGGTGGGGCTGCAAGGTGACTCGGTGGAGGTCGCCGGTTCACGTCCCGGTGAGGACACCCGGGATCTTCCTGCGTGGAGTCTCCATGTTCTCCCCGTGCAGCGTGGGTTCTCTCCGGGTTCTCCGGCTTCCTCCCACAGTCCACAAACATGCTGAGGTTAATTGGTGATTGTAAATTGTCCGTAGGTGTGAATGTGAGTGTGCTTGGTTGTCTGTCTCTAAGTGTAGCCCTGTGATAGACTGGTTACCTGTCCAGGTGAACCTGCCTTCACCTTGAGTCAGCTGGGATAGACTCCGCCCCCCATGACCCTGGTGAGGATGAAGGTGTAGAGATGATGGATGGATGACCGGCGACTTCAGGAAGGACTAAAACCAAGGGAAATAAGCCAAGAATGGATTTAGATCTGAAATTGCCAATAGTGGAATAGGATACTTGTCCAGAGCGATGTTTTGAGCAGAAGTGAGAGAAGTAAAGTGTAATGAGTGGTGTAGGGGCAGACAACGAGGTGACATGTCAGTAACGTACTGCAGTGGGCTGTCTCTCACTGGCAACCAATGCAAATGAGCAAGAACCAGGATGATAACTGCAATCATGTGAGGGTGGACTGTGTCAACCACATGTTCAGAGAATCACTGAAGTCTGGCCACAAGCTAGTTAAAGCATGTTAAAGCATAACAGTTTACAGATTCCTGTGAGATAATATCAGTTTCAGCTTGGTGATGGATCTGAGCTGAGGAAGTACAGAGTGGGCATCCTGTGGCACATTGTTCTCGTAGTTTAATCGTAGCAACTGGACTTGCTTGAGTTTCTTGAGGACGTTTCACCTCCTCTGAATACCTGAAACTCCCCACCAGCCAGTCAGAGCTGATGAAGCCTCTTGGATGAGAGGTGGAACATCTTCAAGGAACTCAAGCAGGTCCAGCTGCTACGATTGAACGAGTCTTTTGTCTGCACTCTGAGTTCAGCTGCATGTGCTCGTGACAAGTTTTAAGTCATTCAGCTTCACTTGCAGCTCAGACGACTGCATCAGACCGTATCTATCAACATGTAAAGAGTTGGGTGGTTGCTCTGACTCCAGCAGTAAGAGCTGCTACACACAGTCCTTGTTCTACAGCTTGTCCAATATCTCCTCAGTCCCCTCAACACGCTCTACATGAAGCTCCAGTGTGCTGCTGTCCAGCCCCCTCTAGTGGTGACTTCCAACAACGGACACCGTGCCGTAGACTTCCACCAGGTGGCCGTGGGTGAGTGTTGTTTTAATCTAAGTTCCTCACACACACTTGATCACAACGCTGCCTTATTTTTGGTCATGATGTCATATTTGTGTCTTCCATGTGCAGGAGAGAAAGTCATCAAAAGGTTTACAGTCCAGAACATTTCAACGGAGTCACTGGACGTATCCTTTCTCCACAAAGTATTGATCAGCTTGTCTGTGAAGGTTCTCAGTCCTCCAGGTCGTGGTTCTTCTGGTAGATTAATCGTAGCAGCTGGACTTGCTTGAGTTCCTTGAAGACGTTCCACCTTCATCCAAGAGGCTTCATCAGCTCTGACTGACTGGTTGGGAGTTCCACATGCTGATATCCTGAAGGAGACATTAACACCTGAGTTTCAGTTTCAGTTGAGGGTTGTTGCTCCTCCCCCTCGTTATGTGAGTCGTTAGAGCTCCTCCTGACACAGTGGGGTTCGTTAGGGTCTTTGTGGCTACGTGTGGATGTGGCTTCATCTTCCTGAGGAGAGATCTGAGGACTGAACTGTAAACAGGTGAGAGGTGATGCCTCAGACCTCCACCTCTGCTGAGGGATGGTCTCTCCAGGTGGACATAGATGGCTTCTTTCACCCCTCTGTCAAACCATCTGTCCTCCCTGGACAACATCTGTATGTTACTGTCTTCAGAAGAGTCTCCTTTGTTCTTGAGATGCAGGTGGATGCTGAGTCCTGTCCTGAGGAGCTGCTCTTCTGGCACAGAAGAACTGATGAAGCCTCTTGGATGAGAGGTGGAACATCTTCAAGTCCAGCTGCTACGATTCATCTATGAGAATATTGATCAGCTTGTTTTCATCAGAACATGAGGTTTTATTGGTAGATGGCACTGCTGCATAGATCTATTCTTCATGCTTCATGAGTATAGTTGTCAGTATGTCAGCTGTGGGTTTACTGAGCGCTGTGAGTGATCCAGACTGACTATACGGTTTCCTTTTAGATTGGTGTTGCCTCTTGACAAATTTAAATACAAACTTAGAATGATGTGAGCGCTGTAAATGTAAATGTCCACCTTCATTTGGAATCAGAGGGAAGGAGGCTGCTGTGGTGGTTTTGGAGTTTAAGATGCTAACTCACGTCTTCCGTCTGTCGCTACTGTCTTCTCCTCCATGACTGTAATAAATGCTCAGGCCTTAAGAACTCTGGATAAATGCACTTACCTGTACAGCTGAAATGTGTTGACATAAAAGCTAATGTTCCTTAAACGTTGTCATTATAGGATACTGTACACGACACAACACTGGACACAGTCTCGTGAGGTTAATCCAGACAGAAGTCACAGTTTCTGGCAGATTTATCTTCCTGTCTTATACAGTCATGTCCAGAGATCAGATATCACAAACCGTATTTCCACAGGTTGCTTCTACTTCTATGACTTAATGTAAATAAATCATGTTACTTCCTGTTCATCGCTGCTTTTCTTCAACCGTTCCCAAGCTGAGGTCGTCGGTACTGGACGTACATGGTCCTTTTTCCCTTCTCAGTGCTCTCAGATGCATAAGACCTGGAGAAAAACACACTCTGACGCTGGCCTTCAGTCCCACCGTGGACACAAAGGTGGGTTCACGGTGGAGCATGCTCAGATCTAATGCATGTGAGTGACCAGTGTTGTCATCGTTCCTCTAAACCAGAAAATAATCAAATGAGAAACCACATATGTTCTTTATTTAGTAAAGCTGAGTGATGCCCTCCCTGCCTGACCTTTCCTGTCCTCTAGTTCTGTGAGATGCTGGAGGTGCAAAGCCAGAAGATGAGGTTGGGAATGACTCTGCGTGGGGAAGGCGTGGTCCCTGCTGTCACCTCGTCCCACACCGGAGGTCTCCTCGACTTTGATTATGTGTTGGAGAAGGAGACGGCCTCACAGGTGGTGAAGGTCAGTCAGCAAAAGGCAAAAGGATAAGAAGAAGAAAACAGGCCTTGCTGGTTTTGGAGATTTCAGTTTTTCATGTCCAGAAGTGAGCGTGTGTTGACTGTTTGATGACTGGTGCTCTTGTGGAAGTGGCTTTAAGTCAAGTTCTGCCTGCAGTTACAGAACAGCTCGGCTCTAGCGGTGGGTTTCAGGGCGCTGCTGGCCAGTCTCTCTCCGTCCAGGCTTTGTGGTGGGGCGGACAGGGTGGTCCTCCTGTTGGACAGATACGCAGACCCTCAGGACCAGCCTGCTGTGGGTAAGATGCTACAAACACGGGACTGTTTCACCCCAGAGACCCCGACTGCTCTGACTGTGAGACCTCCAAAGTAAAGTCAGAGCACAGCTTGTCCTTCCAGCACGGTGTCGCTGCTTTAGCTCTCATGCATCTTTTTAATATGTTTTATATATATAATGATTGTTTTTTAGATATACTGTATGTGTGGTTTTGTATGGAGTAGTGAGAGTGCCAAATTACAAAAATAAATAAATCAGTGAGAGAATAATAAAATAAAAGTGTAAATAAAAAGAAGAATAAATAAAATAAAAAATAAATAATGTGGCAATATAAAGCAATATTTATCAAAAATGAATCCATAAAAGTAGAAATATAAAGACAAATAAACACAATAATAAAAATAATAGTAACTTATTTATTTAAATAAACAATGTGGCAATATAAAGCAATATTAATCCAAAATGAATCCATAAAAGTAGAAATATAAAGACAAATAAATAAAATAATAATATT